GTGAATCTCTGTGCTTAGACCACGATAAGAAGCCATAAATCTTAACCTCGAGCCCACACATACAAAAATCTCATTCACGACTTCTCTGAACCCAATATCTGCTTCATGATGTCATGGGTGGCTAACCTTATATTGCGATGTTTCAAAATCGTTACAAACACAATGGTTTGACTGCAATGAATGAACGAATGACCGATCTGGCAACACCATATTCCGAGAATGTACTCCTGTGTCTTACACAGCGAGCGATTTCAGACGCCCACAGTCCTGCATACCGACATGTCCCATACGATAAATAAGTTTCAACAAGAGATAGCATTGTATGTGAGTTCGCCACGTAGGACTTACACTGCTAAAACGCATGGTGCAGAAAATGTATTACACTGCTGGAATGCATGGTGCAGAAAATGTATGAATTTCGGGAATTTTTTTTTTGGAATCAGTGTAAAAATTTTTTACAGATATTAAAATCTGTAAATTAGAATATCTGATTCTATATTCTTTCTACATTAAAGGAGCGTTCATTTCGTTCGTTTATCATAAAAAATGTAGAAATCACACCATTTTTAGAAACATGCTTACAATTTCATTGCTCTAGAAGGGCGGGCATTTAAATAAACTCTGTCCAGCTGCCCCTACCGGAAATTAAATGGCCCGTCCGATAAAGGCTAAAGGCTTGGGGCGGGTATGCCTTTTTTTTGTTTTGCATTAGTCAAGCATTTGAAAGAATATTTACAACCTTTGTCCATAAAGTTCTGAGAATGAGTCTGTAAAAAATACAAAATTTAACTTATTAACTAATGGTGCCTGTCCCCTTCAAAGCAGTCCCTTCCGCAGTCAATACATTTCCAGCATTTCAGCAAATCCTGGAAGCAGCTGGTGAATGCCTCTTTCAGAATGTTTATGAGCTCCATTGTCGCAGCTGCTTGAATAACCTCTATATTCTCATGTTGCTGTCCTTTTAGCATTTCTTCAGTTGAAACAGAAAAAATCACATGGAGAGAGGTCAGGGGAGTAGAGGGGTACTGACGCACAGTAACTTTGTGTTTAGCGAGAAATCTGTTGACATTAAGAGCTGTGTGTGGTCTCGCATTGTCATGCAACAAAGTCCACTGTCCAGGTGCCCACAGGATGACGACGTCGAAGTGCCTCATGCATATGCCTGAGTACGGAGATGTAAAATTCCTGGTTGGCAGTTTGCAATTGCGGAACAAATTCATGATGAACAATACCCCTGGCACTGAAGAAAAAGATTATCATAGTCTTGGTTGCTGCCTCACTTTCTTTGAAGCTGGAGAACCTGTTGACTGTCATTCAGCACATTGCCTCTTTGTCTGAGGGTCATACTGGAAATGTCATGATTCATCCTTGACAATGATACTGTTGACGAACATGAAATCATTCTGTGCCTCATGTAACAAGTCAGCACAAACTGAAGTTTGCACCTCCTTTTGATCCTGAGTAGTGTGTGTGGGACTAGCTTGGCATTAAGTTTTCATTTACCTCAGTCCTCTTGCAGAATTTGGTGGCAGGTCAACTTATTGATATTCAGGACATCAGCTAACATGTGCACTGTTAACAGTACGGTCTTCCCATACCATACCTCTGATGTGAACCATGTTGTCTTCCTTCCGGGAACTAAAAGGCTGGTCTGATCTTGTGTCATCCTCCACCAACACCCTGCCCAACAAGAATTTCCTGTGCCACTCAAACACTTGCACCAGGGATAAAGCTTCATCACCATAGGCATCATGCAGAAGCTGCAATGTCTCTGTGGCTCTCTTGCACAGCTTCACCCAAAATTTGATGTTAACTTGCTGTTCAACTGAACATTCATTCTTCTCACAGCACAAATCCGCAACTAACAATTGACATGGGTTTTCCAGTGTGCCCTGCTGCCTATTGGAGGTCGAGTGAACTAACGTCAATAACACAGGCAAGCCGCAAAATGTCCCGTATGTATAATACCTTTTTCCAGAAATGCCACTATTTACCTAAGCCAAGATATCAAATTAGTCTCAGAACTTTCTGGACAAAGGTTGTATTTATTTCTAACCACAAATGTCCAAAACCACTTTCATGTGACCACAGTTCTAATGAAATTTATGTTTTTATGACTTGTAGTGTATTCTTAGATTTTCTTATGTATAGACCCACAAGAGGAACTGGGATAGTATAGTCCGTATAGTGATTGGCTACGGGCTGAGCAGCACAGGGGTTGGATATCGAGTACAAGTAAGGGCAAGATTTTTCTCCTCTCGATGTCATCCAAGACTGGTTCTGGGGCTCACCCAGTCTCCTATCCATTGGGTACCATGGGTTCTTTCCCCAGGGGTAAAGTGGCTGGGGTGTGAATCTGACAAGTCACCTACAGCTAATGTCAAGACAAAGAATAGATGGATCTACACCTCCACTTCCCCATACATCTTCATGGAACAGTACTTAATTAGTTAAGGACAGGGACAACTTTACCTTTATAGACCCACCTATCAGTAAGTGTATATTTTTCTGGTACATCATGTCTTAATAGTTGTCCTATAGAGCCGCATTTTGTTGGAGGCTGTCATACCTGTCTTTCTGTTTAACTGGACAAAGGACCTGATCATTTCCTGCTTGTTGTGAGTTATGCATTGCACCATTTCTTTTTCTTTTTCTTTATTTGCTGATGTTTATTTTTATAATTCTGTATTACTGTTCCATGACACAATTTAATTATTTTGTTACTGCTCTTCATGTGCTCTCACTTGTTAATTACTTTTCTTGTCAGTAAATTTACTTTGTTTTTAATTCCTTTTTTCCACTTGATGGGCAAGGAGAGATTTGAGACTGTTTCATCCTGTTTAATATTATCTTGGCACTGCTCCTTCATTAATCTTATGTGTTTATTCCTTAACAACCCAATATCACCTTGGGACCATTGTAAACACAACAGCAAAAGCTGAAGAGATATAAGTGGCGCTGTCTACCTAGTATGGTTTAGGGCAGAAGCAGACAGAGTTCACAGCAAGCCACTTTTCATTACAGTATGACACTGAGGCATATTTAAACAATACAACTATTTGAAGTTGAAGTTTTTACTATGAAGAACTTGATTTTCTGGGTTATATATCATGCAGTCCAGTGAAAGTCAGCCAAAGAGTAAGCCAAGCAAAAAACAAGCATGAAACAATATATTCCTCCAAAATGCCAGCTGACTTTCACAAGACGACATGTCATCATATCATCCCAAAGACAAAATTCTTCCATGTGCATACACCTGCTTATTTTCATCAGTAGTGTGTGTAGTAACACCCACTACTGATGGTCTTTGCCGAGATGTTATAAGCAAGAGTTAGCAGTGACAGAGTTGCCAGCCAGTAAGAACGTAAACATGAGAGCAGAGGACACTGTTGTGATCCATCACCAGACAACAACTGGTAATGACACAGTAGACTGAGAAGACACAGTACTAGTACATGCTGCAGTAAACTGCAGTGTGAATTAGGGACAGTGCTATAGTTACTTGTAGTTACGTTCTGTAAGTGTTCAATAAATCCAATTATTAATCCAAACCCCATCTGCAGTCATTCTAAAATTGTGACAACTGCTGCTTTCTTGCTTCAACCATGGAGATGGAGACAGTACGTTCCTCATGAGATCAGGCTTTCTCTGAATTACTTGGTGTTATGAAACTTGATACCAAAAATCCTGATGAAATGTTGCAAATAGTGCAGATGAAAACTCTGTGTATTCTGGTAAGGACTGCACCTTTCCAACCTAGCTTGCTTTTATACAAAACTCGTAAGTAATATTTACATTTATTTCCTCACTATAATTAAGACTTCACATGGAATGAGACTAAGCTTCAAACTTACAATGGTGATCATTTATGATTATGTGGATAGCTTATATCTGCATTATAATAATTTTATACCTAGAAGTGCACGTAGAGATTTATAACAATTAGGAAACCACAAGGTATTACAGAATTTAATGATGATTATGAGGACTGTAATGACAATGATAGTGTTGCCACTGTTGGTGGTTGTGATTATGATCATGACAAAACAGAGGGGACTTGTGCTCTGGGAATACTGCTGAAAATTAAGATAGATAATGTGTTTTGCTTGAAAGTCTCAAATTTAAGCTCTTGTACCTGCTGCTGAGTCATTAGCTCCACATTATGAGAGTTTTCAGCTTCCAGGTCCAAGTGGCAACCATCTGCTGCAAGAGCAGACAGTACTGATGATACCTGACTGCTGCTCATTGTCGGAAGTACTCCAGCCTTAGAAAGCTGTGACAGGATCTCTGCTGGAGATTGCATGGCATAGGCAGAAACTGATTCCACTGACGAATTCTGAGTTGCAAATACCATTGTTGTAGTTGCATTACTTGCTGATGAGGAAGGCAGAGACACAGCGACAGAAGTTACTGGTACTGGATCTGTGCTAGAAGTAACTGAAATCATGACTCATTGAATTATACATTATTCACCGGATAAAAACTGTTTACAGAAGTAATTCTCAAGTGTAGTCAGCTATGCTAATAGCAGTGCAATTCAAAGTATCCTCAACTTTCACACCAGTTTTGAAATTTTTCTGTAAAGCTCAAGAAGCATTAACTTTGAAAGTCTAAAGAAAAACATAACATCTTAAGTGAAGATGGTCAGTGGCCTCAACAACAACAACAACAAAGTCAGGTTTTATAGCAGTTAGGAAACCTGCTTCATTCAGTTTGTGAAAGCACCATATGAACAGCCACAGCTCAGTATAAAGGATAAAAATACTGCATTTTTCTCTCAGAATCATGTCAAACTATATGTTATGGAATACAATTATTTAAAAAATCAGAAATATTATACAGAAAAATTAGTGTATTCTTATTTATACACAAGTTACGCAATTTCAAGTTTTTTAAACAATAGTTCCAAAAAATAAATACATAATAAACAAAAGATCATAAGAATGGTCATTAAAATAGGATCTGAGTGCCCATTTTATTGGAAATACATACCTGCAACACCAGTATTGGAAGCAGATGTAACAGACACAGTATTTGAGTGTGAAACTGGCAAAGCCATACTTGAAGTCACTGTTACTAATCCAGAGATGTCAGTTGAGAGGTGAGAATGTTGGACTGCAGTTTCTGCAGTATCAGAGTCAACAGATGGAATAACTGTACTAGGATATGATCGAATAGAACCTGCAGTTGGTACTAGCAGGCCTGAAGCCTCAGAAGCAGGAATAGATGGTGGATGAATAGTGGCAGTACTAGTAGAAACTGGCAGCAAACTGCAAGACATTGGTAAAATAGCAGACGAAACTTGTACGGGCATGGACAGAGGAACTGCATTACCAGAAATTGGGATAGAGATACCAACAGGATGGCCATAAATTGCACTTGAAGTTAGTGGAATTGTAATTATTTGGCCAATATCTTGTGCTGACAAGACATGATGGTCATCCACCTTACCAGAAGCAATACCACTGGAAACTGGTATGACAATATGGTTCAAATCAGGAGATGAACAATTATTTGTCTGAAAATTTATTGAATGTGAAATGGATACATTTTGAATTGAATGAACTTGGCTCAGTTCTTCTGCAGAATCATGATTTTCATCTAATTTTATTGTATTTGTACTGTTTCCATGGATGGGATCACTTGAAACTGGAGTAGAAAGCACTGAGATGCTAGTTTGAGATGTGCAGTCAGCAACTGACAGAACATCAGTGCTAACTGGGACAACTTCACAAATGCTATCACCATCAGTATGGTCATTAACAGAAGCACTAGAAGAGTCATCAACCTTACCATGCGACAGTGCCTGCAGGTGATTTGTACAATGAGATTTCATTTCAGACATTGGTGGGAGGGGTATGACCTTCTGGGACAGACTGTGAGAAGCATTAAAAAAGGATGGTTCCATTTTTGGTATGGATGAGTAAACTAAAGTAACAGAACTTTCTTTGGAAGGAGCTGAAGTCTGGGTCAGGACTTGAGATTCAGCAGTTCTGTGTACTGATGGTGACAATGAAACTAGGACTTTCAGTGACTGTGTGACTTCATAAGTTGGAGCCTCAGAGAGAATGGGTACATTGCCTGAACTGCCACTGAAAGTGGATGGCACACTGGCAACAATGCCTGGACGTTGTAAACCTGCTGAAATTGTATTCCTAGGAGATGCTGACGATGAGCAACCAAGTGAAGGAATACTCCCAGGACGTGGAATTTCGGAAACAGGGGGCAGAGGACCCGATGTTAAAGACATAAGAGGCAGCGTTTTATGTGAAAATGCTTCTGATGTGAAAGATATTGGTGGTAGAGAAACAAGGTTTCCCAAAGGTAAAGACCCTGTCAGAAGGGTTCCAGGAGATAACGATTTTGATGGAAGAGCTCCGTGAGTCAAGGTTTTCTGCACATTTTCTGGAGATAGTGGACCAGGAGTAGAACACGATAATTTGATGTTGCTGACTGCAACTGTCTGAGCCTTAGTTGTAATGTAATTTTTTTTGTTAATTGTTTCCTTCAGTGCTTTCTCTTCCTGTCCAGAGTAGCTGAATGATAACAGTGCCTGAAGAGAACAGAAACAAAACAGTACCATTAGGCCTACAAATAAATACTTAACCAACTAAATCCATGGTAAAATCTTCCTTAATCATTTGGCATTTACTGAGATGATCGAAAATTCACTGCTTTTAAGGGATATAATTATTTATTGTGTTAACCTATTTCAAATTTTCACATCCTCTTTGCTCCAATTTTGCTTAGATATCCTAAGTCCCTTTCTCATGAGGTTTTCCCATCAACGTGTTGTATTAATTTCATTTTTCAAGCAAATTACATGTAATACCTTACTGGTCTTCATGAATTACCTCAATACTACAGAGTGAAAGGTATAAATTGTCATGCTACTTGTTCTGCAATGCTTTCCATCTAGCATATCACAAAAAAAAAAAACTGTATGCCTTTTATAAATATTTAGAAAGGACTATTCCTATCATGGCAACAGCTTTGTAGAGTATAGGGGTGGGCTGGGCAAAGACCACACAGCAGCCTGATCTAGCCTAACACACTTTCAAACCAGCTTACAGAAAAATATTAATACTGCAACAACAAAAAAACTCAGTGATTTTAGTCCGCAAGTAAACTATACCAACTGAGCGAGTGACCGCCGCTTGTCGGCCAAGTTTAGTGCCAACTTTTGTGGATAGAGGCTGTCACATGGTCAGCGCAACGAATCCCCATGACTGTTGATTTTGGTTTTCTAGACCGGAGCCGCTATTTCCTTCAAATAGCTCCTCAATTATCATCATGAGGCTGAGTGCACCCCATTCCAGACCCACTACTTCTCACAAAAAATTTGGTAGCTCCGGGAATTGAACCCGGACCTCTGCAACAAAACATATTAGAATATGTAAACAATTACATAATAAATATAAAATAATTTGTCAGGTTGAACTGCGAAGTAAAATAACAATTTTTTATTCCATAATGATTATGCACATTCAGTTTCCTCAGTGCATGAATAGGAAAATAAACTAAGCATCTACAATTTCTCAATGATAAAGACATGTGCCTGCAAAGCTTGCCTAAGATGGAAATATGGACCAGCAGCCAAAATAACTGCCAATTTATGACAGGGCAGAATAATGCTGGCAACTCAGACTCATTACAAATGCACAGCCAGCACACAAAAACATTTTGAAAGGAGCCTTTCTAATTCACTGTTAACCTGAGGTAGGAAATCTCTTCCTGTGTAAATAAATGTAAACATGTAACTTACATATACAAATTGAACAGACATTGCACTTTCCATAACATTAAAGCTCTTGTAATGCCTACAGATATCCAACTTACTACAGTCTGGCTTATATTTTCTTAGACGTTTACCTTCAGTCACTCTCTGTTTCTAATCACCTACCCACTTACATGTTTTCCAAACCCATCATTAGCAATTCTCTATCAACAGATACTTCATTTAACCACAACACAGAAGAGTTACAAATACTAATTATGTCTTAGAATATACAGGGGATGGACAAAAATATGGAAACACCCAACAAAAAAAAATTACCATGACTAATATGGTGTAGGACAACCTCTGGCTTGCAGAAGTGCTTGCAGTCTCCTTGGAATGGATAAACAGAGGTCCTGTATGATTTGAAAGGGAATCTTGTACCATTCTTCCTGCAAAACATTGGCAAGTTCTGTTAACGATGATGGAGGTGGATAGCACAGACGCAGACTGCCCTCCAAAACAGACCACAAGGGCTCAATAATATTGATATCTGTCAATTGTGCGGTCCATGGCAGACATGACACTTCATCTTCATGCTCAGAAAACCAGTCCTGGATGATGTGAGCTGTGTGAACATGGGCACTGTTGTCTTGGTAAATGGCATCACAAAGTTTGCACCATGGGATGGACCTGGTCACCCAAAATGGTCACATAGTCGTTGGCAGTGACGTGACCTTGCAGGGTAATGATGGGTCTGACAGAATACCATGATATGACTGCCCATACCATGATCAAACACCCGCCATGTTTCACTCTTGGAAGCAAACAATCTGGATCGTAAGCTTGGGATGGTGTTCTCCAGATGTAAACTTGGCCAGAAGTCATAAACAGTGTGAAGGTTGACTCATCCGACCAAATGACTGTCTTCCATTGCTCCACAGTCCAGGTTTTATGACTCGGCACCATCCTCTCCTCTCAGTGGCGTTTTGATCACTTATGAGTGGCTTTGGAATTGCAGCTTGTCCAGAAATACCCTGTTTGTTGAGTTCCCTTCATAATGTTTTGGTGCTGACAGGGTTTGTGAGCATGACATTCAGTTCAGCAGTCACTTTTGCAGCTGTAGTCTTCTTATTTTTCGTCACAATCCTATGCAATATTCATCTGTTTCGATCACTCAACACACAATTCCATCCATGCTGGTATTTATCGGATGCGGTTTTTCCAGTTCTCCAGTTCAGTATCTTGGATACTGTGCCTCGCGAAACACCAAAAACCTCGGCTACCTTGGTTATTGAAGCACCCACTATATGGACCCCAACAATTTGCCCACGTTTGAATTCTGTTAGCTCTGACATGATGCAATAAAAACTGCACAGAACACTGTCTTGACAAGAAATCCACACTAAAATAAACACTTCAAATCAGGCATGCATTTCACGAAGTGTTTCCACATTTTTGTCCATCCCCTGATTGTGTGGAAAGCTATTACAACAAAAAGGCATCTATGTTAGTGAACAAAGACGATAAATCTGAAGTGAAAAGTAGAATTACTATTAAAGTAAAATTTAAAATGTTCATTCAAATGGGCAAAAAAACTATTTTATTCTGTATGTTCTGTTCTTAGAAAACATAAATGGAAAATGGACTTTATATGGATGACACTACTGAAAATCAATACCCAAAAGACACAGTATTTTCTAAATGTCAGATAAGCCATAGTGAAGAACGACCTGTTCTTATGCTTAAAGAGGACTAATGCAGAAAGTACCTGCCGCAAAATTCCATCACCAGACAACAGAACAGGTGTCTCAGTTGATACATTTATAGAATCCTGCCGATGACCAGGTGGAATAATATTAAGCTCATCCACATGTTTTATTTTTGATAGCTCTGTCCCTTTTCGCTGATGGCATGAGGGTGCTGAGACTGCTCCCTCATTTGGGTCAGTTTTCCTCAAAGAAATGTTCTTAAACTTTTTCTCTGCTACATGATTATGGATTTTGCTCTTGGTACCTTGTGCTTCCTGTTTTGTAACTTTCATCCTTTCAGCACTAACACTTGCATCTCAGGGGAAATAGCAAAGTTACTCACACTACAACTTTCTGTCCTGTAAAAAACACAATGCAATGTCAGTAACATATACAACAAAATTCCAGCATATTACAAGTAACCACCAGCTCTGCTAATATCAATTTTGTATATTCTCAAATACAATCACAAGAGGAATTTGGGAAGAGAGCAGTTACAACAAATTTCATAAAATTAAAGTTCCTATACGTATTTTATCAACAGGTGTGGTCCATAAATATACAGAATTATGAGATTCATATTAATTTTCCCACCTCGAAGGGCTACTATGGGTACTGAATTAAAAAAACAACCGAGCGTGTATACAAAATGTTACCTACAATGCTGTGCGATTCCACGGTGTTATATAACGTATGAGCGCTACTTTATGATCCAGGAAGAATATTCAGCATGTTTTAAAGAAAACTTGACGTACATTAAAAACATAAGCCCATAAAGCATAACGGTAGGAACTGAGGTTATAACACACCTACAATTTAGTCATGACATAGTCAGTCTCCTGATTATTTCAACCACCATTAAAATTGGTTGCGCACAGCTTCGCTTTCTAATTACGAGAACTCATCTTTAGCGACCCCATTCTAACAGGTTACGCCCACTTGCTTTACCTACTCTCTACACTCTCCAATTCAACGAAACAAAACTTTCAACATGACTCATACAGTTATATCCGTTATATATCCTACCTGCCGTACCTGCCATGAGGCTAGTTAACGACGACGACCGCAACAGTATTAGGCCTAGGACAAAACCATGGAGTATAAATACAGGTAGTTGGACTGTGCTGGTGGTTAGCAAAGAGAAACGAATGGGAGTAGATGGCGTAAGACGTCACGTACATATTGGTGCCCACATACGAGTATATCACTGTCGTTTCAGAATGTAATCATCTATGGCAGCTTTTGTCAGCCGGGCTGCGAAAGGTCGCTATGGGTTCCGCGAGGGGTCGTGTTAAAATAAATATAAATAAATAGTGTATTTATATTCACGCTTGTGTTTTTGTATTAATAATGATCAATAACGCTGTCCCAATATTTGGAGTTTACAACTTAAATCTAAAAAGTAATACTGGCTTATTACCTTTTATAATCATTAAAATTTTGTCGTTACTCAGTATTTAAACGAGTTATTTGATGGTTTCAATAATCCCAATAGCATAATAGAAACTGATGTTAAATGAATTGGAAATAAGTGGCTATAATTGAAATAAATAGTCATTGTAGTCTTTTCATTCTCTGGTGGTGACTAGTATTGAAGGGGGTTGTCCTCAGGTTGCGGATGGAAGAGACGCCCTACAGTTATAGTGGGAAGCTGCGAATATATTGAATAAGCAGTCGCGAATGGCCGACAAGGAGCAGTCCTCTAGCTTGGGTGTTTGGCGTGCGGCAAACAACTCCTCACGTAAGAAAAGCTTGTTACAGAAATATTCAAAAAGCCTCGGACCTGGGCGGATCCTCTGCATAAACGACCTAAGCGAAAGAAAATGGTTATGAGATTCGGTACTTGGAATGTTAGAAGTATGTATAGGGCAGGTTCGTTCAGGCAAGTGGCGGAAGAAATATCAAAATATAAGTTAGATTAGTGGGAGTACAGGTCAGATGGGACGGAGGTGGCATCGAACCAACAGGCTACGTCTTTCTATGGAAAGGGCAATGAAAATTATGAATTAGGTAGAGGTTTTTCGTACATAAGACAATCATATTAATAATTAAGAGGGTAGAGTTCATTAGTGATAGGATGTCATTCATAATACTAAGAGATAACTGGTGTGATATCATCGTTCTGAATGTTCATGCCCCAAAAGAAGATAAAATTGACCACGTAAAGGACAGGTTCTATGAGGAATTGGAACAAGTACTTGAGGAAATTCTGAAATGTCATGTGAAAATTCTATTAGATTTCAATGCCAAAGTAGGTAGGGAAGACATTTTCAAACCAACGATTGGGAATGAGTGTTTAAAAGAAATTCGTAATGATAATGGAGTTGAATAGTAAGCTATGCCACATCCAAAAATCTTACTGTCAAAAGTGTGATATTCCAATATCATAACATGCATAACTTTACTTAGACATCTCCTGATGGGAAAGCACACAACCAAATTGACCATATTTTGATAGACAGGAGAAGGCATTCAAGTATACATGATGTCTGATAATTCAGGGCAGCAGATTGTGATATTGAGGACTATTTGGTTAGGGAAAGATTGGCAGGGAATAAACAAACAAGGCACAGATTTCATATGGAGAGGTTCAATCTCAAGAAAATAAATGAGGTAGAAGGTAAGGAGCAGTATCGTGTTGAAATCTCAAATAGGTTCACAGCTTTGGAGAACTTAGATACGGAAGTGGATGTTAATAAAGCTTGTGAAACTATAAGAGTATCAAAATTTGTGCCGAAGAGAGTCTAGGTAATTATGAACTGATGAAGCATAAGCTGTGGTTCAATGAAGGATGCTCAAAATTATTAGACCAACGGAAACAACCCAAATTGCAGTAGTACGATGGACAGGATCTATGAAGAACTAGAATATGTATTTGATAAATTCCCAAAGTACCATATAAAAAGGTTGTTAGGAGATTTCAATGTCAAAGTAGGGAGGGAAAACATTTCCAAATCAACGATTGAGAATTAGAGTTTGCAAGAAAATAATGATAATGGAGTTAGAGTAGTAAATTCTGTCATATCGAAAAACCTTACTGTCGAAATTACAGTGTTCCCACATCGTAACATCCATAAATTTACTTGGACATCTCCTAATGGGAAGATACACAATCAAATCGATCATATTTTGATAGATAGGAGACGGCAGTGAGTAAGCAAACAACGCACAGAGTTCATATGAAGAGGTTCAATCTCAATAAATTAAATGAGGTAGAGCAATGTTTCTAAAACTTTTGAAGTGGAAGGACCAGTAAAATGTCTGAAAAAATTTATGGACCACTAAGTTATGTAGGCCTATTTTCTTAAATCTATGTGGTACTACCAACATTTGGGACATACTGTGTCATTTACAACATAATAAATCTAGAAGTATGTTCTGAATTAATATGCAAGCATAATTAATTAAATTGGAAGTAAACTATTACAAGTGAATCATCATTGAAAAAAGTTTCAATCTTTATTAAAACAAATAAAGAATGTGATAAAATTGTGTTACTGCTTACTTCTAATGAGAATGTTGAGCTTGCCGGCCATTACAGAGTTCCTGGATATCTGGATCAATATTGGTCAACTTCAGTCGAAGATCTGCACTCACATTAAGACGATTTCTGTACTTTGTTTTTAATTGAAGGAGCGATGGAAATTATTTCTCATAAAGATATATTGCTGAAAACTACATGACGATTTTAAACGCTTCTGATAATTAACTTGGGAAATCCACTTCTCACTGAAGGCGGGATGCAGAATCGGACCAAACCAAGATCACGGAATTGTATTTTAAGCTCAATGTCACTTGAAATCTCAATTAACTTTTTTTATATAAAGTAATGTCGTTCTCGCGATTGTAGGCCTGAAATATATCGCAAACCCACAGAAATTTCTCATAAAATTTATTTCGAAAATATGTTTCAAATTTCTCTTTCGCAGTTTTGAGATGGTCACAAACCCTTTCCAGAAAATGAGAAGTAACAAAAACATTATTTTCCACCAAAAAGATTCCAATGTTGGAAAAGGTGCAAATTGTCTGTCTTTTACATTATTAATCCACAATACCAGTCTTTTTCTCGGATGTATTTGTTTTGTCGTAGGCACTGGGAACAGTTAAAGAATTTCCTTGAAGGGAGAGATTAGTTTCGTTTAAATTAGGAAAAATATGTGAAAGATAGGATAGTGGCAATAACCATGCTTAGTCAACAAGAAGTGATGCAAAATCAAAATTACATTACTTCACAAACAAAAAAATTTCGTGCCTTAATTGAAATAACATTGTTAGTACTTTGCTCCTGGAAAGCCAGCGAATTTCATAATGAAGCAAAAGTTGTGCATACACTGCTCATTTCATCGCAGAGTGAGGAAAATAACATGTTATTAAACAGTCGAGCCATTATAAAATTAACTAGCCTTACACCGTTGTCTAGCACAGTTATAAATTCTGGTGCCATTCCTTTGGAGGTCAACGCTTCCCTGAAACAATGTACCCAATTTATATCCGGAACTGCTTCCTTGACCTTAGAAACAACCCCACTATGCTTGCCTATAAGGGCGCGAGCTCCATCCGAACAGAAGTCCTCTGGATTCCTTTCTCTCTTATGTAATTATAGAGATTTATATTCAATGTTATGACAGTCCACTATTACGTTCCGTTAAATAGCAGCTTCGTAAATGACATCACTTTCAGGTGTGCGCAATGAACTGCTACGCGTCCACTGTAACTCAGGGGTACCATTCACTGATGTTAGGTTAGGTTAGGTTAACTTAGGTTACGTTGAGTTGGGTTGGGATAGGTTAGGTTAGGTTTGCGCAGAAAACTGCTGCGCATCCATCTGTACCTTGGAGGGGTCGAAACTCTGTAATTTACGCTGTTAGGTTGTGAGTGTACATTATGACAGGTGTGCGCAAATGAATACTGCGCATCCTTATGCTCAGTTGAGCACTGTTGGGCCGTCGGCAATATCTTACGACTGAATGTCTCTGATAGCACATGAAATCATTATATATACTCAAATGCCAAAAGTCATCGGATAGCAGTATGTAAATTTATTTTTAAGTGGCGCCACCGTCCCTTGAAGGCTTCGGAATGCAGACAAACGACACTGGCTGAAATCACAACCACATTCAATGCACGAGGTACCAGGTGCATATCAAGCAGGTGAGTGCAGCGTTCTTTGGCTTCCATTGGATATGGGAGCAGAAGACCGGCCAGAGTGCCTCTGTTAGCACCACGACACCAGACACAGCACCTCACCTGGGCTTGTGACGTCGCTAATTGACCCTGGAGGATTGGCAACATGTGGCGTGGTCCGATGAGTTACGGTCCCAGTTGTTTCGGGAGGAGGGTAGGTTTCGGGTGTGGCGCAGACCCTATGAGGCCATTGACCCCAGTTGTCAACTAGGCACCATACAGGCTGGTGGTGGTTCCATACTGGTGTGGGGTGTGTTCATGTGGCATGAGTTGGGTCCTCTCGTCCACTTAAACACGTCATTGACCGGTGACCACTACATTACACGGCTTGGTGACCATTTGCAGCCCTTCATGGACTTCACGTACCCCCACAACGATGGGATATTCCAGCAGGACAATGAACCGTGTCATCGGACCGGAGTTGTCCAGAATTGGTTCGAGGAACATTCAAGAGAGTTCCGACGAATGGTGTGGCCACCACGTTCGCCCGACATGTACCCAATCGAGCATTTATTGGACGTGGTGGAGAGGTCCATTCGAACTAAAAATCCTGCACCTGCAAATACCAGGGAGCTGCGGGCGACAATTAAGACGGCATGGCTCAACATGTCTCCAGAGGTCTTCCGTCCATTTGTGGAAGCGATGCCACGTAGAGTTGTTGTAATTTGCCGGGATAGAAGGGGTCCAACAGGATACTAGGTACATATCCCATGGCATTTGGCACTTCAGTATATTTATACGGGACATCCTACTTCCGAATTTTCTCACATGATAAACTCTTACGTATATTT